TGCCACAGAACTAAGTGAGGGCCCAGGGAGAAGGAAGCAAGGCCTAGTACCCACCACCAGGTTTGTGTAGGTTCGAATCTGCTTGTCTGTTCTACCTCTTTTTTTTTTTTGGTGTTGGGGATTGAGTTCAGGGGTGCTCTACTACTGAGCTGTATCCCCAGCTTTTTTTAATTTTTTGAGACAGGGTCTTCCTAAGTTGCTGAGGCTGACCTTGAACTTGAGGTCCTCCTGCTTCAGCTTCCCAAGTCACGGGGACCACAAGTATGCATTGCTGCATCAGGACCTGTTCTACCTCTTAGCAGCTGCTTCCAACTTGCCCTCCCTCTCCTTTTCTTTCATAAGGAAAAAGTTCCCCTAATATTGGAAGATGGTCTCTCAGCAGATCCCTTCTCAAGGACCAACAGGAGACAGGAAATGAAGCATTATTGAGGTTTCCGTTCCTAGTTAATGCTTAACTCTCCTCTCTTTCTCCCAACAAATAGTGCAAGAGGTAGTCAGGACACTGGCTTCAAACAGATTTGCATTTGAATCTTTGCTACATGCTGTGCCAACCTTGGGCTAATTATTTGCCTTTCTGGGCTCATTTCCTCTCTCTCAATTTCTGTAAGGGCAGGAACCATATGTGCTTTTTCAAAAAATATATTTATTAGTTGTCAATGGGTTTTTTACTTTATTTAATTTTATTTGGTGCTGAGGATCGAACCCAGGGCCTCACATATGTCAGGCAAGCACTCTACCACTGAGTGACAACCCCAGCCCAACCACAGGTCCTTTTTTTGCTGCTTTGTCTATGGTGAGCACTGTTCAGGGCACATAACATAGTTAGTTCTCATAAATGCCTGTGGAATAATGGAAATTAACCTCTTATCCACCCCCGCCTTTGTGACCACTTTGCATAAAGCATTGTTCTTGATCTGGCTAGTATGAGGATGAGCTAGGTTTATTATTTTAAAAAAAATATGGTTCTTCTATGAAGAAGCAACTCTATTGTCAAGCAACAAGAATCCCTTTTTACTGGTGGATTCTCATTATTCGTATCAGTGGGATTTGTTGTTGCGTGTCCCCTTGATTCCCTTCTATGCCAGGTACTGGGGAGAAGCAAATTCCTGGTAACTGTCTAGGGAGGGAGTAAGCATGCTACTGCCTCCCTCCAGGGCCAGATGTCCCTCTCCCTTTTCCCTTTCATCCTCCTCCTCTTCATCCCTCTTTCTCTGCACACAGGGAAGAATGGCTGCCAGACATTGCCTGTTTGGAAAAGTACAGCTCAATAGATATGAATCAGCTTGGGCAGGCGAAAAATGATTCATGTCTGACCAACTTGATTTAGTGCAGGTTGTCCATTCTGAGTCTTCTTCTCCCTTCTAATTAGAGGAGATTGGTCTTGATGGTAGGAGGGAAGAGTCTGAATTTAATCTGTCTGTATTTGTGGAAGGCCGGGGATGGGATGGATAAGGGGATGCTTTCCCATTTGTCAAAGCACTAGTGAGGAGGAGGAGGAGGAGGAGGAGGAGGAGGAGGAGGAGGAGGAGGAGGAGGCGGCGGCGGCGGCGGCGGCAGTGGTGGTACCCTTGGGTCCTTCTGGAATGGGCAACCTGGTAATGAACAGCCCACAACCTTGCCTTTCCAATGTTCCCCATCTCAAAACTGTGGTTCATGATGCCCACTCCTGACTTGTCTTCAAAGAATGCATGAAGATTTAAGGTTAATTACTAGACACAGCTCTCAGAGTCACTGGGCACAGTCAGGGTTGGGGAAGAGGCACAGGGATCAACACTTCTCCCCTCATCTGTCAGCACCCACAGTCAAGCCTGTCTGCTGTGGGTGGTGCTGATTTCCCCAAATATGTGTCAGCCCTGGGCCATTTGCCAGATTCCCTGTGCTTCCTGTGTCTTGGGGCAGCTTAGTTCCTCAAGCCCTTGGGCAGAAGGGCCTAAGAACTCTGTGCTTCCTGTGCCTCCTCCAAGAACATGTCATACCATCTGTTAGTCACTCGTGTACCTACTACATGCCAGGCACCATGTTGAGAGCTGCAGTGGGTTATGCAGGCAGCCTCTGTATCTCACTGGGTCTTCCCAGCAGCCCTCAGATGTTTGTCATGTCCCAGCTTTTTACTGTGGAGAAAATGGGAGGGCCAGGGAATCAAGTACCCAAGGTATAGCACGAGTCCAGTGACCAGCCAGCTGGCTCCCGACTGTGAAGCCTGTGCTTCTTCTAATGTGTCGGTCAACAACAGGTGCACGGAGGTCCTCTCCCTAATGGGCTTCTGCAAGGTGCCAAGGGCTTTGTGCACAGAGGGTTCTAAGACCAGGGTCTGTGCCTTACCCTCATCACAACAGTGCTACAACCCCTCCTGGTTATCTTAAGGCAGAGAAAGAAACATCCAGGCCAATAAGGTAGATTGCTATTCCTAGAGATTCAGATTTCAGGAAGGGTGAATACGAATGTTTTTTCTAGAAGTATAAATATGAAGGCTTCACACGTGACTAGAATGTGCCATGATTCCCCTGTCTGCACACTGCCTCCCCGTTGCCCACTGCTGGCAACTTTCAACTGGTGAGGAAGGGAAGCCCCCTTCAAAGCTTAGACACTTCCCTGGGGCCCATTTATGGTTAAGGAGGCCCTTACCTTGAGTCATCTCCTTACCACCTTTAACCAAAAGGAAATCCCTCCATCTGTGAGGGCCTTGGACCTTCCCTAATCTGTTCTCAGCAGGTGCCCTTCCTAAGTTTCAGGCTTGCTTTCTCTCCCTAGGTGTTGACTTTAAGATGAAGACCATAGAGGTTGATGGCATCAAAGTGCGGATACAGATTTGGTGAGTTGGGTAGGAGCAGGCAGGCTTGGGCAGAGAAGACCCTGGGCTGCTGTTTAGAAACCACAGTCATGGGCAATCCCTAGGCCTCGTCTGGGATAACTGGACACCTCTATGAAGGCGAGAAGTCAAAAAGTCCATCCCAAGAGTGAGCCTTAACCTCCTAGCTTGCTTAACAAACATCATGGAATAGATGAACAAATCACCAAAGGGTAGGAATTAGAAGGAATTGGTGAACTAACTGTTGTGGGTTTATTGTAGAATTAGGCTTTATCCTCAGGCTGTGTCACACTGGGTAAGACAGAAGGATAGAAGGCTCCACCCTGGGTTTACTGCCTGATGCAGTTGCCACTAGTAGCCACCAGGGGCTGCTGTGGCCCTCTCACCTGATTGTCTTGAGCACTACTTTTGCAGGTGGAGCTACCTCCTAATCCCAGAAGTAAAGACATTGCCTTTGGAGGTCCCATGGGCACCGGGGGTGGAGCATCATCCTCCCATTCAACCAAGTCTGGCCATAATGGCCAAATTTTAGAGTTGTCCAAGGCTCAGTTGGTGCAGTGCAGATACAGTTATCAGGAGTGTCCTAGGCCTGTGGGCCTCGTCATTGCCAGTATAGAGGAGCTAACCTCATATCGCAGAGTCAGTTGTGCTCAGACCCCTTTGGGGATCAAAGCACCACTGATTTTTCACCTTGCAGCTCCCCAGTTTTTCCTACAAAGGCACAGGGTCTCCCAGTTCTTGCTCCTCCCTCCCTATCTGCTCCCACGGTCCTTGCTGCTCTGAGGGACTGGCTTTCTACTGCAGGGACACAGCCGGCCAGGAGAGATACCAGACCATCACAAAGCAGTACTACCGACGGGCCCAGGTGAGCTACCATTTTCAGGTAGTGGAGGTTTAGCTGCCACCCCACTTTCACTATGGGTATTTGAGGGGTGTTTGTGGTTATTTTGGTCACTGACCCCCTTGGATTGCCTTCAGAGGAGGGAACCTTAGGGCAGTCTTTCAGAGACCCACTGATCAGTCATTTCTCAGTTATTCATGGAGCACTTACTGTTGGTAGGTCCCCTACCCTCATCCCTAACTTTCACCCTCCACCCTGGGTCAAAGACCCAGGACAAAGCATGTGATGCCTTCCTACCCTAGAGAGTTCTGTGATGGTCCTAGGAAGTAGCAGCTGTGGGGGGTCTGAGAGAGAAGGAGACATTTCTAGATACTGAGGGGTCCTCATTATACTAAGCAAGGAGAGTGGCCCAGTGTGTAAAGACCCCCCTCCCCCATCTGGCTTCATGAGTGCACTCTTTCTGTGTGCAATCTCCCTCCCCCATCTCTCTTTCTCTCTCTCTCTCTTTTTTTTTTTCTCTCTCAGGGAATATTTTTAGTCTACGACATTAGCAGTGAGCGCTCTTACCAGCACATCATGAAGTGGGTCAGTGATGTGGATGAGGTAGGAAACACCACCTCACTGACGGGTGGGGAAAGGGCACCTCAGGGGAAGGTAAAGCAAGGGCCAGGCCAGATGGGAAGGGCCAAAGCTCTCAAGGGCTGGTGAGTCAATGCTACCAGGAAACCTAAACCCTGCCTTCTGCCGGCTGGAAGAAGAGCTCTGGGTGGGTGAGTCATGCAGAGCAAGCTGAAGCGGCCATGCCCTCATGCTCTGTTCCTTGCCAGACCTCCATGCTGTGTCTCTCCTGGAAATAAGTTAGTTCCATACCTGCCCTGGGAGTAGATTCCTTCTTGAAATCTCAGGACCGGGTGCAATTACAGGACTGGGCTTCTAGACCAGAGCCATGACTCTGCCGATAGCTGGGGAGCCTTGGGCAAGCCATTTGAGCTCTCTGGGTCCCAGTTCCTTATATCTGTTGAACAGGGGCTGCCAGTCTTAAGTATGACCTTTCCAACTCAGGTACCATTTTTTCAACCCAACAAAACACTAGGATTAGCCAGAGTGTCTTCTATCCTAAGCCACCTCTGGGACACTCTGGGGTCAGTCAAGGTATAGTAGTTCCTCCTTATCTGCTAAGACTCATTCTAAGACCCCAGTGGATGCCTGAAACTAAAGATAGTATAGACCCTTTTTTCTCCTATACAAACATACCTATGATAAAGTTTAATTTATAAATTAGGTACAGTAAGAGATTAACAATAACATAGTAAAATAAAATAATTATACTATAATAAAAGTCACTTAACATTTAAACACACATTGTTTATTTCTAGAATTTTCCATTTAAGTTTTAGACCATAGTTGACCATAGGTAACTGAAATTGGGAAAGCAAAACCACAGATAATGGGGGACCCCTGTACTTGGTAGAGCCTGACACTTGCCTCTGGTCACCCCACCGTGTCCCTAGGGCTCTTAACCTTGGTGGTGGTTTAGAGGTCAGTGTAGACTGGGACAGGGGAGATGGGAGGGAAGGGCATTTCTCAATGACAATTCTGCTTCTCCTTTGTCTCCAGTATGCACCAGAAGGTGTCCAGAAGATCCTTATAGGGAACAAGGCTGATGAAGAGCAGAAACGGCAGGTGGGGAGAGAGCAAGGGCAGCAGGTAGGTGGAGTCCTTCTGTAGCACCTCCAGGGCCAGTCCTGGGAGTGGGGACTGGGAGTGCACTCACCATTGTCAGGTTCTCTCACATGTTCCACAGCACCTTCAGGCCCTGGGGAGTTGCCATCTTTGAGAGGCTGCTCTCTGTCCTTCAGGACAGTATTTGGGGTCCATCCAGACACAAAGACCTCTTGGGCACCAACTCTTGTAGGTCCAAGGTCCAAGTTCCTCAAAACAGGGACTTACCAGAGCATCCCTGTTAGGGATGAGGAAGGATTTCAAGTTGCTAATGTCTTCTTGAATCACATCCAGGCATAGCTATGTTTTGCAGTGAGGAAACGGATTCCTGTCCTCCTTGTGCTGGGAAAGAAGTAGGGAGGAAAGTGAGGCAGTGAAAGGCCCTCAGTCAGGTGTGGAATGTTCAAGCATGCAGGAAGACCATCCTCCCAGAGAACAGGAAGAAAGACTGATCGTATGAGACAAGAGTCCTCCACCCACTCTGAGGACCTCGAGAGTTTTTCTCTCCCTCTTCAGTCAATAGCATTCCATTAGCCCTTAAAATAAAATTGATTTTTTTGGTTACAAAAAAATACATAGTCATTGAAAATGTGGAAGTAGAGGTAACCCTGTGAGAATAACAGTATTTATCAAGCACCACATGTAGGGCACTGTGCTCAATAAGTGCTTTTAGGAGCATGACCCCATTTAATCAACCCATTACTTTAGGTCATGGACACTGTCATTCTCCTTTAACAGAAGAGGAAGCTGGGGCTTAGGGAGAATAAGTAGCTTGTCCAAGGTCCTACAGCTGTTGTGTGGCATCTGGTCTCTTGCATCTGGGTCTCTTGCACTCCAGAGTCACTCCATAGTGTTTGCTAACATGCCGCACTACCACTGCATTTTGGCATCTTTGTTTCCTGAGGTATGATGTGTGAACTGGGGGTGTACATGCGTATTGGAGGAGTGGGGTATATTTGTGAATCATCTTTCCCCATTCTGTGCCAGTCTGTGTCTTGGAAGGAGCCCAGTCTCATCTGAGAAGTGGTCTGCTCTGAGAAATTGTCACTGTACAGCATGGTCTGCGAGTGTACATGCCAGGTGGCGTGGGTGCCTCCCTTCCCTTACTGACTCTCTTTCAGAAATGTCCTTCTCTTGCAGCTGGCTAAGGAGTACGGCATGGACTTCTATGAAACAAGTGCCTGCACCAACCTCAATATTAAAGAGGTGAGACCACTGGGCAGCAGCTGCCCTGCCTCTGGCTGAGTCCGCAGAGTGGGGAGGTGAGAGGAGGAGGTGGAGACAGGAGCCAAGATAAGATAGGACTGGCCCCTTGGGCAGTTACAGAGTTGCCGGGAAGAGAAGACGCTGGCTAACCCATGCCCCTTGGTTTCCCAGTCTTTCACGCGTCTGACAGAGCTGGTGCTGCAGGCCCACAGGAAGGAGCTGGATGGTCTCCGGATACGAGCCAGTAACGAGCTGGCCTTGGCAGAGCTGGAAGAGGAAGAGGGCAAACCCGAGGGCCCAGCGAACTCTTCAAAAACCTGCTGGTGCTGAGGGTCCTGTGTGGGGCACCCCACACAAACCCCTTTCCCTCAAGAGGCCTGTGGGCAGACAGGGGAGCCTGGGCGTTGCCTACTGCTGTCCTCTCATTTGACGACCCTGTCAAAAATCAGTAGCTGCTACTCTTCCCCTGCCTGGCCCTGAGAGCAACTCTGCTGGCATCTCTGAGCAGCCTCTGCCCCCAGCCCCTCTACCCTGGAGTGGTATCCTTCAGCCTGTTTCCCCAGCCATGGGCCTGCTGTGACCCCCATGGTGTGCTTTGAGCGCCGTCCCACCACCAGAGCTCCCTGGACAATGGCTGAGGCTGGAGTCAAGACTGCTTAAAGGCTCCTTCTTTCTGAGTGCATCTTGGTCCTCTCTGCTTTTTCTCTTTTCTTCCCGCTCTTCACCTCCTTCCCTCAAATGTGTTTCCTCTCAAAGCCCCTCCTACCCTTGCCTGTGTGTCCCTGTGTGGCTGCCAGAGCAGCTCCTTCCTTCCCAGCCCTGCCTAAGGGAGTGGACCCAGGCTCATAGGGATGTTCCATCCTCTGTTCCATGGGGGACCTCCACCTGCTCTGTGGGTGGGCCAAAGGCCAAGGGTGCTTCTTCCTCTCCTCCTTGTCCCTGCCCCTTCTTGTGCCATGGGCCTGCCTCCCCAGTGACCTGGGAAAGTGGATCATGGAGGTAGGAAGGAAACACCAACTGGTGGTCCTCATGTCTGGGGCTGGCTGTCCTACCTCTTTGTGCTCCCCCTGCCTGAGCTCTGGCCTTGCTTAGCTGCCCACCTGCCTCTGTGGGAACTGAGCTCAGAGGCAGGTGTTTCAGAGAGAAAAAATGATGAGGGGTTGCAGGGATAAAAAATCACCTCAAGTCTCTACCTCCCATGCAGGGTGTACACACCTTCTCACCACATGGGCCCCTGAGTCTAAAGGCCTGAGGGTACCACAGGGGCAAGGAGATCCCTGGGCCCAGAGCACTGGCAAACTAACTGTGCAGTCCAGAAAGAGGAGCACTCACAAGTGAAGGACTGGCTCCTAGCTGTCAGGGCCAGAGCAAGGGCAAGCAGGCCAGGGTCAGCATTTTGTAAAGTAGAGGGGATGTGGTGGCAGCAGGGCCTCACACACTCTAGGCTAGCACTCTTCCACTGAGCATGTCCCCAGCCCTGCTTTACCTCTCTTGTGGTAGAAGAGAACTTCCCCATACTTCTTGGCAGAGGTGAGAGGTGATGTAACCACATCACTCTTCTTTCACTAAACCCAGCCTTCAGCAGTCAGGGTTTTCCTGGGTCCCAGAGTTTGTGGGAGAAAAGCAAAGGTTTCATGGGAAGAAAGGAAGGAGGCCCTGGGTAGGAATGCTTGGGACTGTTCTCTTCAGCCTGAGTCAAAGTGCACCCTTGCTCCTATGTAGGCTCGAGGGTGTGCCAGTTGCACTGTGGGGAGGGAAAAGGACTTCTGTCTCCAGAGTTCTGTGTTCAGGAATTTTCTTTAACCCCCAAATAGTCCAAGAGTCCTTGTTCCCTTTCAAGAGGGAACAAGTCAATTGCCAGCCCTGCTTGGGTTCCTCCTGACCTTTCTGGAGTGGGAGAAGCCTAGGTGAGAGGATCATTCCTAGTCTGTACTACATGCTAGGATTGGAGCCAAAGCAAAGAACTGGGCACTGAGCCCCAAGGACCCAAAACCAGGGCACATACCTGTGGAAGAGAAGAGCCCTATTTCTTACTCTTTGAAGAAGGAGGTGGGAATAAAATCATTGGGCACTTTCTTTAGGCTTACCAAACCAGGAAAAACGGCTAGCGGGAGAGGGTGGCTCAGGATTTCGGAATGGGGGACAGGTGAGCACGGTGGAAGGAAGAGGGGAACAAATCACTGGCTATAAGTTCAGAGAGCTGGTTCTTTAGGATGAAGCCATGAGTGGCTGGGCGCTTCCTCAAGGACCAAGTTATGCAGCAGCACCCTGGGCATGGGAGTGGTAATGCCAACCCTGCCTATCCTCAGGAAGGATGAGAGAGAGGAGAAGTTATATTAGGCACTGGCTCCAACCTGTGAGCCAGTGTTGTCACTTCCTCTGCAAGTCAGGCAGAGTTCCAGCGTCTCTCTCCTAACCCCCTCAGGAAAGAGGGATTCTGTTTTTACTGTATCCTAAGGGTTTGAGAAGGGAGAACATGGGCCCAGGAGTCTATGGACTGATGAGCTCTCTCCACAAGGGTCACGGCTGGGAGCAGAGGAGGGCTGGGATTTTAGGATGCAGCTGCGCTCCCCAGGTACCAGAGTCGGCCCCTTGCCCCCAAACTTTAGTGCAGGAGGTGGTCTGGGCTGCCATTAGACCAGGAATGTTGAGCAGGCTTTCCCAGCCTGTCTTTTGGTCAGTACCTCTGCCACTTTGTCCTGAGACAGCTCAGCCCCTGGCACCACCTGCTCCTGAGCCCCACCATCTCCCTGTGATGGGTGAACTTTGTGTACTGTGTCTTGGGTCCATTATATGAATTGTGAGCAGGGTTCATCTATTTTAAACACAGATGTTTACAAAATAAAGAATATTTCAAACCACAGGTATGGTTGGCTGTTTGAGTTCCTGGGAGGAGGTTTCACTGGGACCCTGGTGGTAACCTGGGAGGGGGAGGCCTCTGGTAGAAGAGGCCTCAGAATTCTAAAGCAACAGCAGGAAAATGATGGTGAAATGGAGAACTTTGTCCTTTTTTTTTTTTTGGTGTGTGTGCCTTCTCTAGTGCTACCTGTAGAGGAACTCAAAGCAAAGGCCCCCTGCCCTGAAAGAAATAAGATGAAGCACAGTCATTGAGAGGACTGAACATCCATGTCTGAGGGAAGAGGAAGCTGAACATCCCAGTCAAGTCTAAACGGGTCTTTGAGGCCAGTATAGTTCTCATCTGTTCAGTGGATTAGGAACAGGTCTTCCCAAAGGCGTGAGAAGGGATTGAGTAATTTTTCAGATTTGTAATTGGATATCTGAGGGGAGAGAGGCAGACATGAAACTTCAGGACTCTAGGTAGTTAAGGAGGCTGACGTTGCTCAGTGGTAGAGCACTTGCCTAGCACATATGAAGCCCTGGGTTCAATCCTCAGTACTGCCAAAAAAATAATAATAATAAACACTTTGGGATATGGATTTGGTTAAGGAGCTAGAGAATGTATGGGGGTAAGGATAGAAAGATGAAGAAAGAAAGGAGCGAGGGCAGGACAATCAGTAGTCTTAAGATCTTAACCGTACTTTACAGAACACTGTGATACTTGGTTCTTCTGTTTCTAATAATCACTATATGAGAGAGGGAGTGTGGTTATCTTTATCCGCACTCAACAGATAAGGAAACTGCTTGGAGAACTTCAAGGATTTGCCACAGGGCCCCAAGTAACTTGTGGAATTACGGCTGGAAACCACTGTAGTAGTGGTGAAGGTTTGGCATTTCAATTTAGAAAGAAGAAATCTCATTTATAGTCAGAATTGAGAACCACCCACCTGAGCTTTTCTGTCCAGTGCTGCTTCCAGAATAACCAGTGTCCTGCAGAAAGCTGTGCAAATCACACATTTGAAGTACAGGCCCAAAGTCATGAGCTTCTGAGAAGTGGGGCTGCTATGAGGCAGAGCTGGGGTCGGAAGTATTTTAGGAACGTCTCACCAGTCTTCATCAATTATGAGAATTGAGAAAACTAGGAGACTCCTACGGATCCTAGGTTGAGCTGGAGGAAAGGGAGAGCGTCCCCAACGCCATACTCTGAGCTCCTATGGCCTGGCCCAAGAAGGCTTGCAAAGGGGCAGCCACTAAGAGGTGTCTCCGGAGCCCAGGTACTAGGGGAAGCTCTAGGCAGGAAGATAAATATGGCAAGTTAATGTCAAGGTTTCAGTCACTGTCAGAGCCAAGTCCCTCTGACTCAGTGGCTTGGTATGGACACTTTTGGGTGACATCCAGGAACTCTTTCCAGCCTTAGCAGAGGACACACTTTGTTCCTGCCACTCCTTCTGGTGGCAAAAGATTCCATTCCCACTTAGATCACGGAAGCTTGCTTTTAGTGAGCAGCCAGATGACATATGGGGTTCCTGTGCACTTAAACAGCCATGAACACGCCGCAACGCAGAACAGCTAGGCGCTCCCTGGTGAGTAGTTCCTCCATCTCAACAAATCACTCTCAAGACCAGCTGCTCCCCAGTCTTGCTTACTCTTTGTTCTAAGAGGCAGCTCCCAATGGGTGTGTACCTGTGGAAACACTCTCCAGGAAAACATCTACCTTCTTACTGAAATTTCACACTAAAATCCCAAAGCCAGGGAAAGCCAGTCTTACTGAGAAACCAAGGCATTTTTTAAGAAGTGATTTGTTTGGTTGGTGGGTACATCAAAGAATGAAGTTGCTTTAAGGTCTGTTTAGTTTCTGTGGGCTTTTTATTTGGGGGGGATTCCCCTGAGAGCCCTTAGCAAGTCCTAAGATGCCAGGCTGTGTGACTGGTATTGACATCATGGACAGCCCACTTGGATCAAGAACGACAGTAGCCATGCTTTGATGCACTCTTTTTTGGTGGGGATGGGTACCGGGGATTGAACTCGGAGGCACTCAATCACTGAGCTACATCCCCAGCCCTATTTTGTATTCTTTTTAGAGACAGGGTCTCACTGAGTTGCTTAGCAACTCGTTTTTGCTTAGGCGGGCTTTGAACTCATGATCCTCCTGCCTTAGCCTCCCGAGCTACTGGGATTACAGGTATTCACCATCATGCCCAGCCTCGATGCACTCTTCTGTGGGGAGAGGGTCAGCACAGCACACACACACACACACACACACACACACACACACATTCACCTCCAAGGGGGAAAAACAAACAACTCTTGGGGACTGAACCTTTTGGGAAAGAAGGGATGCAGTTTAGCCACCTGTTCTGTGATTCATCCTCACCGTTATCCTAGCAACCACTCCATCCTCATGACTGGGGGTGGAGGTGAGGTGGAGGTGGAGGCTATAACACAGGAGATGGTGCAAGGCAGGGACAAGGCAGGACAGGGACTACCACTCACTGAAAGTCTTCATCTCTTTTGCCTGTGCAAGCTGAGGCACTGGAAGTCATTTTTTCTAGGAAATGACACAAACTCCTCCCAAGGGTTCCTTGGATTTTGTGCTTCTGGAAGGTAATAGCCAAATAGAAATAGGTGAAGAGTAATATGTACATTTCAGGGGTCATCTGAGTCAGGTGGGCACACTCCCCAATTCTCTTCCTCATCTTTCAGATCTCAGCAGACTCACCTCTCTGCACAATTCAGACTGGCACTCCATAAATGCATTCAATAAATGTCTGTGCCAAGTGAAAATAACTTGCTGGGGAAAGCAGGAGTCAATCTTGTATGTCTCCCTCCCTTTTTTCCTCCCTATGCGACCTTTAGGTCTCTGGTTTCCTGCAAGTAGTGAATTATTTACATCTGCTCATAGCTATCAAATTGGTCCTTTCCAGGTTGCCAGCAGGGTGGGGCCGGGAGGCAACTGTAAGTAGGAGGAGCAATCACCTTGTTCAAACAATGCATACAGGTGAGTCCTGCTTTTGCTAAGTCATCCTGAGAACGCAAAGGCCCATTGTGAGATCTTCTGTCCTTCCTAGGTCCTCCTTCCTCCCCACTCCCTTGAGAGACCTGTAAGTGGGTGCACAGCACTCTGCAAGACTCACTCTGCGCTTCACCATGGCCTACATCGCCAAGTCTTTCTATGACCTTAGTGCCATCAGCCTGGATGGCGAGAAGGTGGATTTCAACACCTTCCGAGGCAGGGCAGTGCTCATTGAGAACGTGGCCTCTCTCTGAGGCACTACCACCCGGGACTTCACCCAACTCAACGAGCTGCAATGCCGATTTCCCAGGCGCCTGGTGGTTCTTGGTTTCCCTTGCAACCAATTTGGACATCAGGTGAGGTGTCCCTTGTGTTGTGCCCAAGGAACTGGGCTGATGAAGCTTGAGTAGGATAAGGGAAGGGGGTGAATGACTTTGCGTGTTTGAGTGTCAAGAATTGTGGGCATGTCCTTCAACCTAGGTCTTTGGGAGCATGTGAATACTTAGGGGCAGTAGACACGCTATGAGACTAAACACGGGGGTGGGTGTTTATTATTTACTGTCTTCCCACTGTAGTCCATGAAGGCTGGTTCCAGGTCTATTTTTCTCTCCATTGTGTCCTCACTGCCTAGGGTACTGAAGGCACTCATTAAATATTTGTTGAATGAATGAATGGAGGAACCAGAAGGTCAAGAATCAAACTAGAATTAGACTCACTCAAGTTCTTCTCTTTAATGGCTATGTGTCCTTGGAAGAGACACTTGATTTTTGTTTTAGTTTCCTCATGTGTAAATTGGAGATAATACCACTTAGCTCACAGGATTATTGTAAGATTCATGGGGTGAGATATAAAAAGGTAAATAGAAAAATATAAAGCATTATGCAAATGTAAGCAATTTATTACTTGGATTGAAGATTGTTTAAATCAGTCAGTGGAAAGTGAATATGATGAAAGGGAAAGATTTGTAACTTGCATGTGTGTCCCCTCTGGGCACCACACACACCTGTCTCTGAATAACAGGTCGAGTTGTTATGAATCTTCAGCCTGCACACCTTAAGTTATCTCTTAGGGATTCTTCTATTTCTACTTGTGATTTTAATTGTATAAGTAGTTAGAATGTCCCCAAGCAAACACTCTAATTATAATCCCCTAAGTTCGATTCGCAATGGCATAAAAAGGCCATGTAGAATTAACCAAAATGTAAGCAGGAAGGCTGAAGGATCACTGACTGACAAACCAGAGTCCAACCATTACTGCTCTCACTGTTCCTTCCCTCCCTGCCAGCCTTTACCAGGCAGGAGAGACAGAATGGGTAAAACCTCCTGCCCTAGAGGTACCCCAGGCTTACCCTGTTACTTCCGCCTAGTTAGTCACCAGAGGGACCACAACCTAGGAGCCAGCCAGCCATTTGCATTAAGAGATTAGAAATCTAATAGAGTCAGCAGGCTCATGAATGTTATGATGGCTGGGAACTGACAGCACTCGCAGGTTCTGGTAGATCAGAGGTGGGGACTTTTTCCCAGAGGGAGACCTCTGACTCTCAGACTGGGGAGGAAGGGGTGGAAAATAAGGGATCTCACCAGCCTTTTTGAGTTGTCGGGGTGAGAAGTGCTGAGTGGGAACAGGACTGGGGTGGCAGTGGGAAGGGAAAGATAGGTAACAGTTTCTGAGCTAAAGCCTTTGTAGCCGAGAACAGTCAGTAGAGAGGAGGAGCTTTGGACAGCAGCCTACAAGTGAGAAAGTAATTACATATTCACAATCTTTAACTTTCAAGCATTGTTTCCTTTACTGCCCACCCTCCACACACCTATCCTAGAACCCTCAACCCTCTATCCTATTTGAGTCATTCCTGATGGTCACTAAGTAGTTCCATTTAGACTATCATTGTGGTCTCTAACTTGCTTTGCCTTTATGACATCTGAAAACTACATTTTCTTGGTTGGGGTCTTTCTTCCCCAAAGTGTTGTCCTATTTGCACTTCAGTTCTAGGACAAGGCAGGAGGAAAGCTAGACGCTCTAAGTCCAGTCCCCTGGGCCTCACTTTCACCCTGCTTTGAGGAGCTGAGCAGGGCAGAGGCAAAGGCTGTACTCAATGTGTAATCAGAAGCAAGGGAGGCACAACCAGGGCAGAAGAAAGGGAGAATGGGGGTAGGGAGTGCAGAGCACGTGTGTACATGTGTAGACAGGGAGGCAGGGAGGTAAGTAGACCGACAGGTTCTGGGCAGTATGACCTGAGCCTCCCTTTCTTTTCTTTGTCTGCCTGGAACTCAAGGTCACTTGAAGCTTTAAAAAAAACACTGCTCAGGATCGTTGGAGTCAGAAGAAATGATTCAAACATACTAAATTTTTAAGTATAAGAACAGCCAAGCTAGGAACGCCAAGAACTTTCAGAAATGGCCTAGCACACCATCAACAATAGCTAGGAGAGGGGAAAAAAACCGAGTCTAGAGAAGGGCCGAGCAAATGGAGGACACTCATTTAGGGAAAAAGGATCCTGGGAAGGGAGTGTAGGAGGGTGAAAGATTCGCATGCTATGGAACCTTCATTTCCTGACCCTTTTCCACGCTCTGTCTTCTTCCTCCCCTTCCTCCCCCAGGAGAACTGTCAGAATGAGGAGATCCTGAACAGTCTCAAGTACGTCCGCCCGGGGGGTGGATACCAGCCCACCTTTACTCTTGTCCAAAAGTGTGAGGTGAATGGGCAGAATGAGCATCCCGTCTTCGCCTACCTGAAGGACAAGCTGCCCTACCCGTATGATGACCCTTTTTCCCTCATGACCGATCCCAAGTTCATCATTTGGAGTCCAGTGCGCCGCTCAGATGTGTCCTGGAACTTTGAAAAGTTCCTCATAGGGCCGGAGGGGGAGCCCTTCCGACGCTACAGCCGCACCTTCCCCACCATCAACATGGAGCCCGACATCAAGCGCCTCCTCAAAGTTGCCATATAGATGGGAGCTGCTCCGCACACGATCTCCTGCTCTATCCAGTCCCTGAGTTTTCTTCCCCAGGATGCAGTGTCCCCTTGGGAGCCACTGCTGGACCGAAGCCTTCCCTCCATGTCACCCCTTCATTGAA